AACAGACTATCCAACAATTTTCCCACAACTAATGTAAGACTAATGGCTTTATCATTACTGGGTCAATTTTATCACTTCCCTTGAAAAGAGGAGTTACATTAGCTAACTTCCAATCCTCTGGTACCTGCTCACTATTCAAGGACTGACAAAAAATAGTAGCAAGTGGCTCACATATCTAATCTTATCCTTTTTCAAAACCCTTGGGGTAATATTATCTGACCCAGGAGTCTTATCATTTTTTAAACTTCCCAGTTTTTTCTTAACTAGCTCAGAATTAATGCAGTCATCTTGTTTGAGCTCGTTTCCACTTATCAACTGTTCAAGATGTGGAATACTGCTTAAATCTTCATTAGTTAAAATCAAAGAAAAAGTAAAATCTTATAACCCAGCCATCTCATAATCATCAGATACTAGCCTTTCTTTATCATCCCTCAAGGGTCCTATCCCTATCTTATCATTTTGTTTCCCTAGCAGAAATGGATTCAGAACCACCGAATCCTTTAGAAAAAGTACCTAATAGCCTTTACTGAATAATTTCTGTTATATATTTGAGATTTCACACGTGTCTATTATTACGAACCATACAAAGGTGATAACGGAAACTTTTTCACCCTGTACTTATGCTTTTTAAAGGAACACTAAATTTTGTAAGAAAGCTAAAGGGGTAATGATAACATCATTTATACTAGAATTATAATTTTTTTTAATTACTAGTAGTTAATAATACTCTGTTTGAAACTGTCACCTCAGTGAAATTGGTTGACACCATTATTTTAGTTTGTGAGTTATCATGCAATAAAAAAGAAGCAAAAGAAAGAAGAACAAGAAATTCAAACTTTTTGCTATGATATTTACATACATTCTCAAACTTGTGACTCAGTCATTACATAGATACTGGAAACACTGTATACTATTCTAAAGTTCTGATAACCTATTGAGGAGATATTTAAAATACCATTTCGATGAACAATCTAAGCCATCCCTACATAGGGAGTGCTTTTGCATACCTGATATATTTAAACCTGAAATTCTTTATAAAGTTACTTTGGAAAACAAAAGTTTATAGTAAAAAACATACACACTCAGATAACTTGACAAAGACTGCTTTCTCAAGTTTCTTTATCAAACTCAAAGTGACTTATTTTACAGAGCACACATATATATATATATATATATATATACTAGCCACTGGCAAACTACCAGGAGATCTTAGTCTTCTGGGAAATATAAACCACTGATTTAATAATATTTACCCTAAACTTGGTGATATTACTTAACAAAAAATTAACTAATACATATCATGATGTCATTCATATCATTTCAAAATCTTAGATTAAAAATTATAGTTCCAAATAAATGACTACATGCTTAGTATGGGATACAGTAAACAAATTTTGGATCCTTAAATTAACTGACAACATATTCCACTGATTTTTGAGTGCCTTTCTTCACTGTAAATTTCATTACTGACTAATTTTCAACCAAGACTACACAATATGAATTATAGCTAAACTGCAATATAAGTTATAGGAAAAGTGCACACTGTCCATTTAAAAGTTTTTTAGCATTTAAGCTTGTTAAGTGCAGTCACTAGCAGCACCTTTAGATAGAGCCTATGACCAAAATCCTGTGATGTAAGCATAACTGTGAGAATTATATGATAGATGTCTAAATGTAAAGATGAAAGAATTATCATTTGTAATAGATATAAATACATACATATTTACAGTTTTCTTGACATTTGCTTTATTACACTTGTTTTGACTAAAACTATATCCTTATATATAGTTAATACTACTCTTCAGTCATAGTAATTACCTTCATTGAACTTGACTTTGATCAATATGTCTCCCTAGCTTTTTGTTTTTTTATTTCCTTTACTGGGTATCAAACTTGAGTCCTCCCAGGCATAAGGAAAAAGCTCTCTACCAACTCAACTAATTGGTTAATTCTACCAGTGCTGGCTAATAAAGGTCTTTTTTTAACAACTCAAACTACCACATCTTTCCCTCCCACAAACAAAGCCCATCCTTGGCCTTATAAAATGGGATCTATGTTGATCGTGTTCAGTTAAAACAATATAATGAAGTTGCAATGAAAAATCTCAATAAAATTGTTCTATGTATAAAAATTACGGGAATGGAACTTCCATTTTGCATAACACACACACACACACACACACACACACCTATACACATATATGCATATAGGATAAATTCCTCAAACCAACACAGAAAGAATGCTATTCATAATGTTTAGGGTTTTGCTAATTTTCCAATGGATAGTCTATTTGAGTGATGGAATGAAAAGGTTTGAAATATTAATATTTGGGGTAATAAGGTTTAAACTTTAGAAGCCTAGATCCATGCTCTTGCTTTTCTGTGAGATTACTTTCCTATTAACTTTAATATTGTGAAAAGCTTTTTGTGAAGAAATGTTTCTTTTAAGCAACTCAAACTGCAATGTTTCAAAGTTATTAATCATACAGTGCCTGAATATGGCACAGTACATTTCACTGCTTCATAAAAACATTCTGCTGTAAAGCTTTTTCCCATATTAAATCTAATTATCAAGTGGAATCCTTATCTCTTTTTTTTCTTGGTGTTATAAATGCTTTATAATTACCCAATGATGTCATTTCCACAGTTGGTTTAAATACTTTAAGGCCTTTATTGAACATGTTTGTGAATATTAAAGTCTAAATATAAGATAGTTTTGGTGTTTTGGAGGGTAACCTTGATGGGTCAAATAGCCTTCTATTCTCTTAATATTTCTCAGGTTCTCATAACCTTAAAAGTGTGTAAAACTTTATACTTGTTTAAGAAAACTTTTTATCTACATTTTAACACCACATTTTTTTTCACATAGATTTAAATAATGTTTCAGAATAAAACACATGAGTTACCCTGGTAGTGCCTATAACGAATTAGATAAGCTGGGTACGCCTTAAGGTTGTCATATGTCATATAAACTGTACTATCTTGTGCTAATCCTTTAACAGTATCATATCGGGTTTCTTCAAATTGTATACATCTTGATGACCCTAAATATCTCGGTTTCTTTGGAGGCATTCGTAGCATAGGGTCTGAAGGGAGAGTGATACTGTCACCTGTGATGACATTAGCTAAGAAGATTTCTTGTGAACCATCAGGATTGCTATATGCACATGCATCACAATACTTGGCATTTTCTGCAAAGTAATTAGCATTTCCCCATTTTCCTTCAGTACTGAATCTCATGTCAAAACCCTCTTCACTGTCATATATTTTTTCTGGTTTATCATTACTAGTACCATGGAAAAGCAGTTTCTCATTAGAAGAACCATTATTTTTCAACTCTAGAAGCTTTTTACTCTGGCTGTATTTTTGCCAAAGCCAAGTGTTCTGGATCCTAAAAACTTCAACAATTTTGTACATTTTCATCGATAGATAAAACTTTGTTTCAATATCTTTTAGTTCAGTACATCCTTCTTTCAAAGATACCAACTTAGTAGTGTTTTCCTGGTTGCCATCCCAGTGTGATGGGATATGAAACACCTGTGGTTTTGTGGTAGATTCAAAAGAAGATAAAACCTCCTCTAATATTGCATTCTTAGCATAAGCTACTGCTGATGTGTGTCCTACAAGATGAATTATGCATTTTTTGTTTTCACATGTTGAATCATTTTGAACACAACAAAGAACTCCAAATTTATTTGTAATTTGATTTATTTCGTTAATCAGTTTTTTTGAAGGATTATACTGAAGAACTAGCAAATCTTTTTTGAATAGTTCTTTCATTTTCTCTTCTAACATACATTTGACAAAGGGTAGTTTTGATTGTGGACCAGTAAGTTTTACTTTAAAGGTAGGGTTTTGCCTAAAATTCATATTGTCAAGTATCATGTGATCAGTGTTCGGTATTACATTTTGCTGTTGAATAGAATGAGTTATGCCTGTCTGAACATTTAACTGACACATCAGTTTGAAGTCAAAGATATAGTTATTTTCACAAATTTTAATTTCTCTAGGAATTTCAAATTGAAACATACTTTGAATGAAGTCTGACTGAGCCTGTGTGTATGGATTAAAAGTAGTATGCTCATTTTTGTAGGTCCATTGAACCACAGAATGTTTTACAGGCACACACTTAATCTTTCTCCTGAACTGTGTTTTCATATTCACTTGTGTCATATTAGCAAAGTATATCACGTAGTTCTTCTCATCAATTTCGAGATGTATAATACCAGTTGGATCATTCTCATATTCTTTACTCAACTTGCCACACACTTCAAAAGAGTAGTGTCTGAACGATCCATTTTCTTCCCACTGCCAAGAAAATGATCTGTATGCCTTTCCAAGAAATTCAAAAGCCTGCACTACTCTGGGTTGAAAAAAGATGCACCTGATAGTATGAAGATTAAGTACTTGGACATCTTTAGCAAACTGTTTAATGGCTTTCCAGGTACAAGTTGCACAGACATCTTCTGGAAATTCAAATACCCCTGGACCTAGGGCAGGAAGAGCCACACTTTGTGCCTGAATGTTGTTGGCTAACAATAAGGCATAATAAATTGTTTTGTAAAGAGCATCTTCTTCATTGTTCATTCCACCTTTCCAGTGAGGTACAATCATATGAATTAAGTGTTTGCAAGGAAGATCACCTGCACTTAAACAAACAATTTCTTTGGGCAACAGCTTTCTATTCTGCTCAACATATGAAGTAGTTTCTTGCTGAACAGAAAGGCCACCAGCTTCAACTATTCCCTTAGCCAGGCCATTATCATAGTTCAGATTTTCATTCATTGGATTCACAATTGCATCAACTTGCTCATATATGATGATACCATTAGAAATTTCTATTTGAATTTGTTGACCTGTAACTGTTTGAATAGATAAAGCCTTCAGTACCTCAGAAGGCACAGAAGTGGTAATATCCAACTCACTTTTCAGTGTTTTCTGGAATGAGACAAACTCACTGCTATAAAAAACTGGATAATGATGTTTGGTTATATCCATTTCAGTTGTAGCCACAGGATCTGCTTGATACTGAAGAACTGATCTGGTTGTGGAGTCACTTTCAATCTTTCTGGGCCTACAAGATTAAAGAAAATCAGTGTCTACAGCTGAGCTGCTTTTTTTCAAAAACAATACATCAAAACAGTTTAAGTTGTGTATTAAAAATGATCAGTATGGGATATATTTTATTAATCACACAACATTCAGATAAAAATATAACAGAACTTACTAGCAATAAAACATACATAACATAATTTGAATACAGAATTTTTGATGGTCAATCTGGTAATTTGTATCACACAAGTAATTTGAAAGGCATAATTTTTCAACCAAAGCATTTAATTTTTGACATAATACTAAAATAAAGATTACCTACTATTACTTAGTAGCTACAACAGAATTACCACTTGAATCTAAGTAGCTACCACAGGGTTACCACTTGAATCTAAGTAGCTACCACAGGGTTACCACTTGAATCTAAGTAGCTACAACAGAGTTACCACTTGAATCTAAGTAGCTACAACAGAGTTACCACTTGAATCTAAGTAGCTACCACAGGGTTATCACTTGAATCTAAGTAGCTACCACAGAGTTACCACTTGAATCTAAGTAGCTACCACAGGGTTACCACTTGAATCTAAGTAGCTACCACAGAGTTACCACTTGAATCTAAGTAGCTACCACAGGGTTACCACTTGAATCTAAGTAGCTACAACAGAGTTACCACTTGAATCCATATGCGTTTTTTTTTGTTTGTTTTTTGTATAGCTTTACCATCAAACAATACATAATTTTCAAAATATGGTTTAATTATATTAAAAAAGGCAACTGTTGTATTTTTCATTTGCCATTATTCACAAATTAATAACATATCTTAACCCAGTGGTCAAAATAACAATTATTTTAATATGCTTTATACTTAAGTCATGTTACTTATTAAATAAAACAGAAGCAACAATACCACATCATTCCAGTGTGATATTAAGTTACGTTGATGTCCAACAGGTAGAATCAAGTACTTGGTGATTTTAGAAATGTTAAGTAAAGTAATATATAAAAAAACTTATAGAAAATAAAATACAAAAACTTGATTAATATAAACAATCAGTGAAAGCTTTTCACTAAGCAGGCTAACTTCTGTATTCACAGTATATAACTTCTACAGTTTGCTGGAATGAAGAGCATGGCTGAAAGAAAGACTATTATAGGCATAATCCACTATTTTTTTTAGCATTCTACCAAGTTCCTGGTGTAGTATTGTACAATCCTTGAGATTTACTATACTTACAACTATTCCAAATAACATATAAATGGAAGAAAAACCTCTTAACCCTATATTAATATAAGTATCCTTTAAACAAGCTAACCACACCCCAGTGAGTACAGACATAGATTCAAGCTAATACCTCCATAAGATAACTATTGTATGTGGCCTCTCCCTAAGTAAGATGATTAGTGTATATTTATAATCTATGGCCATTCAATTTATTGGGAAGATGTTAACTATTAGGTCATCAAGAAACTAATGTCGCTTTTTTTAGATGAAAAAACACAAACAACTTATATATCAAAACAAAACATTTATTAAATAAAATAGTCTCCATTCTTATCAGGTTGTTAATGCCCTGATTAAAGAAATCACTTGGCTTTGAAGGAAAAAAACATGTTGATGTCCTCTTTAACACCTTTCACATTTGCATACGTTTTCCTATTAAGATGGTGTTGCAGCGAACAAAAAAAAATGGTAATCTGATGGTGCCGTATCTGGAGAATTTGGTGGGTGGGAGAGAACTTCCCAACCCAACTCTATAATTTTGTGTTGCATCAAATATGCCACATGTGGATGTGCATTGTCATGGAGAAGAAGAAGAACACCACAGGAACCAAAGTCAGGCCTCACCAAAATTTCACCCTAATCTTCTTAATCATTGGTTCAAAATTCCCATAAAAAGAACTAGGAATTGTAATTTTTTCTTTTTATCACATCCAAACATTCTCTATTCCCTATTTTTACACATGTACTACAGCTGTAATTTGGCTACTAGATTTATAGCTTTAATGTAACTACTTTGTCTGCAGTTCCTCTATCTAAAACATGTATTATAGCTGTAATTTGACAGCTAGATCCATAGTTTCTCTACAAAACACATGTAATGTAGTTGTAATTTGACTGCTAGATTCACAGCTACTTCACAAATGTATGTATTGTATCTCTAACTCAACAGATAGATTTGCACTCTATCTACAAAACTCAAATATTAAACTACATATTTTATTTTGTCTCACTTGTTATAATCTGCACCAACTCTATAATACAAGTTAAAAACTGTTTTTGACTCCTTTTTGATACTTAGCTGTTAGATTTGTATGAAAATTCATGTTCAAAGTTTAAAAAAATACTTGATACAAATATGTCTATTACAGGCCACTTGCATCAACTACAGTACACAATTTTCAGTCATTTTTCGGATCAAAATTTTGGTGAGGGTAAAGGAGAGGAGTTGGTTTACTTGGATTTTCAGAAAGCATTTGATAAATGTGTTGCATAAAAGGCTGAAAAACAAATTACCTCACTTTGGAGTATTGGGTAAGTTACTGAAATAGAGAAAGAGTTGACAAAATAAGTGAAAGGAAGAAAACATTTATTTTTAGTAGAGTTTTGCATTCTAACTGATATAATGTTACAAGTGGTATATGCCTCAAGGATCTTTACTTGGACAACTGCTATTCATCATTTACATCGACAACACTGATAGAGCACAGTCATGAATTTTTTATTACCCCATGATATGTTAATATGAGGTTTGACTGGCTGTAACAAGGATGATATGATTTTACAGAGAGACTAGACAAATTGTTTAGACAAACAAACACACATCAAAGTCAATTATAAGTGTAAGGTTATGCATGTGAGTTATATTATAAGTTACACAAACACCCACAAAATTTAGATGGAAATCCACTAAATTATGTGGATGAGGTATATATTTACAACAGAAGTATTTTATTGCAAAGAGTAAACCTATATATATATATATATTTAAAGCATCAATAAGTTTGAAATACTATATATTTTTATTCATATTTTTCACAGCTTTAACACTGCTCTATGAAAGCACTATCAAACCTATAAAAATCAAAAATTTAATTAAAAAGATGCAATGTTTTGAACCTGGTGGTGCTTTGAATATTTATATATATATTTATAAAGCTAGAGAAGATCACACCCTTATATATGACTACTAGCTGAGTTACCAGGCATTGCATGGTGAAAATTTAGATTTGAAATGTATAGATCAGTATTTTTTTCAGCAAATTATTCAGTAAGTGTACAAAAGATGTGCTGCGAGAAATAAAAAAGCATTTACTCAAACAAAGCTTTATTTGAAATTAGATCGTGTTTGAGCTTGCCTTGTTCTTTGAGTCTGAAGACATACATCATGTTGCTCTTCTGTTTCTTGCTCTTTATAAGTTATTTGTGTTAATTTTTGTGCATGAAGTCTGGCTTGACATTGTTCAGAAGTTTCTTGTTGTCTATATCCAGCTTGCCTTGATGATTCTGACTGAACTCTGGCTCTGTGCTGTTAAACAGTTTCTTGCTGTCTTTGAGTAGCCTGCCTTTCAGCTTGAGCTCAACACCTAACATTATGTTGTGCCAAAGTCTCTTCCTGTATTTAAGCAGCCTGTCTTGTATCTTGTGCTTGAAGTCTTTGATTGCGTTCTTCTTCTGTTTCAGCTGCTCTTTGTGCTTGCATTCTTTTAGCGGCAGAAGACTTTCCATAGAAAGGGCATTTCTTGGGTGGCATAATCACCTGTATCACTAAACAATAATTTGCAATTCACAAAGTTACTAAATCACTTAACACTATTTAAAGAAAACTGTTTTTGGAAATACTGAATTGGTGATCTGAGTGTCTCCCACCATAACACTTTCTATGTGCAAAACATGCTTATGTTTGTATGTTTATTACAAAAAAATGGCGCTATAATCATTAATTGTCAACTTCATCATTAAATACTACACCAAATACAAAATAAGTAGCACCATTAAATTTTTGTAAAAAACTGGTTATAATGAAGTTATTTTAAAATTTGCAAGTTCAACCATTTGGTTTCCTATAGCGAACAAAATAAACAAACTTCTTCTTTTATATATATAGATAGATAGATAGATAGATTCTTCAAGATCTTGTTTTTGTCATCTTACACCTTTTAATGAAGATGAAAACATTGACAGGAAAATAATACAATAGCCAATGCTCAGCGAGAGGTTTTCGTTTATAAAATTTTGTTGTTGTTCTCGACTTGATTTTTATTTTATTACCTCATCTCCATAGTTACTATTTGCAAAGAGTCAATAATATTGTAGGTCCATTTTATTGTTTAAGTTTAAGGAGGCCATACTTCCATTGTAGTTGTTACAGTTAGGACTCATTTGGAGTATTAAGTGCAGTTCTGGTCCCTATAGTTTAAAAGGGACACAGAATTGTTAGTAATGATCCTGAAGAGGGCTACTAGGATGATTCCAATTGATGTAAGTTTCATATAAAAAATAACTTGAGAAAAGGATCAAGATAGTATAATCAAACTGATATATTCAAAATTATTAAGGGTATCAATATCAATAAGATTTGGACTTTGTTATTGTTGAATTCTGAGGACAGTAAAACAAGAGGCCATAAATTTAAAATTTGGAATAATCAAACACATCTCCATTTATGACAATTTGTATTTCTATTTGGCTGCTAAACCTTAGAAACAACTGATATTTAAAGAGGTAGAGAATACAACTATATAGGATAACTAAAAAATTATTTACGAATTTTTGGAGAGAATCATCAGATCTAATTTTTTTTGTTCTTTAAGAAAGGCTAAGGCAGGGATCATATATTCTTTATGGGCTTAAAGGCACTCAAATTACACATAATTTAAGCATAAATATGTATGAAATACCATATATATATATATTGGAAGTTATTAAATCAGCATTATTTCTTCTTTATAATACATATTTACCATTTACATTTTGAACAATTATATTTTCTTAACTTAAAACTATGATGTACTTCTCATTTG